GTAGTATGTTTGGTTGGGTGATTGGTGGTATGTTTAGTTGGATGATCAGTGGTACAAATGGTTAGATGATAGGTAGTATGTTTGGTTGGGTGAGTGGTGGTACGTTTAGTTGGGTGATCGGTGTTACGTTTGGTTGGGTGATCAGCGTTACATTTGGTTGGTGATCAGTGGTACGTTTGGTTGGGTGAGTGGTGGTATGTTTGGTTGGGTGATCAGTGTTACGTTTGGTTGGGTGATCAGTGTTACATTTGGTTGGGTGAGTGGTGGTACATTTGGTTGGGTGGTCGGTGGTACGTTTGGTTGGGTGAGTGGTGGTACGTTTAGTTGGGTGATCGGTGTTACGTTTGGTTGGGTGATCAGCGTTACATTTGGTTGGTGATCAGTGGTACGTTTGGTTGGGTGAGTGGTGGTATGTTTGGTTGGGTGATCAGTGTTACGTTTGGTTGGGTGATCAGTGTTACATTTGGTTGGGTGAGTGGTGGTACATTTGGTTGGGTGGTCGGTGGTACGTTTGGTTGGGTGAGTGGTGGTACGTTTGGTTGGGTGAGTGGTGGTACGTTTGGTTGGGTGATCAGTGGTACGTTTGGTTGGGTGATCAGTGGTACATTTGGTTGGGTGATCAGTGGTACGTTTTGTTGGGTGATCGGTGGTACGTTTTGTTGGGTGATCGGTGGTACGTTTGGTTGGGTGAGTGGTGGTACGTTTGGTTGGGTGAGTGGTGGTACGTTTGGTTGGGTGATCAGTGGTACGTTTGGTTGGGTGATCAGTGGTACGTTTGGTTGGGTGATCGGTGGTACGTTTGATTGGGTGAGTGGTGGTACATTTGGTTGGGTGGTCGGTGGTACGTTTGGTTGGGTGAGTGGTGGTACGTTTGGTTGGGTGAGTGGTGGTACGTTTGGTTGGGTGATCAGTGGTGCGTTTGGTTGGGTGATCAGTGGTACGTTTGGTTGGATGATCAGTGGTACAGCAGCAGGTATGATATGTTTTTTTTTTGTTTTAGATTTGTTCTCTCTGCCTTCTTTGACTTTAGTGTGGCATTATATTCTAAACATTTGTTGTTCCATTTAATCCTAAAGCAGCAGCTTTTTAGTATTTTTTGTTCCAACACAGAAACTCCTTCAGCAGAAATCAGATTAGTGGCATCAGCAAAAGCTTGGTGCAGGAATTCTTTCAGGTATCGGGCTTGTTTTATGGTTAAGGTGCTGAGAGCTGCAGGAAGTGCTGAGGTTAGCCGGAGTTCTACAACCTGCGACAGGTTACACCATCACCTGGGTCACAAGTTTACTTTATACAACACAGCAGGAACTAACTATGACTAACATGACATTACATTTTTTTGCTAACTATTTAACATTTATGCTACTATGGTATCCATATCCTCATCACTCTATTTATTTACACATGATCATATTTTATTTTTATTTGACTAATAACTGTTTACAGATATTTACTTTATACCTTTATCCTGTCTGTGTTACCATTACCATGATTGATGGTTAAAGATCAATAAGTTCTCGCTCAGAAACAGGAAGTTGTTAAAAATCCTAGACTCAGGCCGTGGGTTTGAGTTTGGCTTCCTGTCAGTTTCTCCCACACTCTCTGTCATTGACTAAACGGAGTAATTGAGCCAGGATTACATTAACATTACCAATGAAAACCAGAATAACCTTCTCCCACTGACTCGCTCACATCTTTCACAGCTGTCTCCATTACTATACCCAGGGCTCCATGGAGCTCATCTTCAGCTAATCAAAACCCCAAGTGTAATTACCCTGAGGCGGAGAGCCGCTGACATGCAAGTGAGACGCATTTAGTGCAACTTCACACCTATAAAGTGCTAAAACTGACTTTAGAAAAATGTGCAGCAAACTGCACAGCAGAAACACTCTGAAGGCACAAATTTATAAAAAGAGATTCAGAAGAAACAAAAAACCGAGTCTTTGCTATTGCATGAAAAATGAAAATAACCTAAATCAGCAAATGAGGAATAAATGCAAACACCCAGCAATCACTGAAAACAATACCTATCGCCCGCCACCTTTCATACTAATACCACACCAAACTTTAGTCACCCTCCATAAATCTGAGTTACTGACATTTGTGTTTGCTGAGGCTGACTGGATGCAAAAGTTCATCAGTTGTACACGAACATTTACTGATTTTATTCTGAGTTTCAATCAAATTCATTCTGTGATTTATGAGATATTTTGCTAACAGACTCCAGTAGTTAAGGTCACTTTCTGAAATTCACTGTAAACTTTGCATTCTTTTTATTATAAAGACACATTATAGGCTCCACATTTTTCGTCATTTTGTTTAACAAATGCCAGCATTTTTACTACCTACTTAATATAGTTCTATTTAACTTAAATACTTTAATAATCTAGATAATATCAATAAATATAAAATAAATCAGCTAAATGATTCAATGTAAACTGCAAAGATTAACTAGTTTATGCACCTTCTGGGTTAACTTCTGTGTTTTTAATCTTGATTGACAAGCGACATTTACCAACAAATTAGTGGTCTGATTACACAAAAGGACAAATCCAAAGTATGGACAACTACCAAATTACCAAAAAGAAGTTGGTTTCTAACTAAACTGGCAGTAGCTCCTGCCTCCAGCAATCTACCTGCACTGACCGAGTTCTGCTCACGAGCCGAGGTTGAAACGCTGCATCATGGAACATAAACAGAAAAGTCAACATGTGACCAACACTACAGGCGAGCATGCAAAGACACAACGACATTATCCTATTAAGAGACAAATCCACACAGAGACACAGATTTAACACAAACACAAAGCTGCCACTGACCTTGAAGCTCCAGTAGTTTGGTTGTTGCTAAGAGTAGAGAAAAACAAAGAGTCGAGGAGACAGAGGAGGGGACAAGGAGGGGGGAAAGAGAAAAGACACAGGATTGAGACTTTTGTCCTCACAAATCAAGCTGTAAAACACTAAAAGAGCTTAAAGACAAAAAAACAGCCAAGAGCTGGTGAGAAGCAGAGAAAATGTGTTACTCTGTTTCCAAGTGAAGATATGAAGGTGATACTAAAACAATAAGATTCAGTTTGTCTCAACATGTCAACGTTTTGCTTTCTAGTAGATATTTTGTGCTGTAATTTCACCAGCTGGAGTGTTAGTAAAATGTCTTCTATGACATCATAATTACAGTATCAAGGTTTGTCTTTGAAGCTGGTTTTAGGAAACAGAAGAGAATCGTATAAACACTTCACTCAGTTCCCAAATAACTCATAGAATCCTCCTTTATTTGTATTTTCTTTTACTGTGAAAAGTTAGGAAAGACACACGCTTCCAGTCAAATTTAGTAACAAACTAAAACTGAGCTTGACCAGGTTATCATAAAAACACTGGGTTTCACCTGGGACATGACGATTTGATATGATTCTCGATACAGTGAAGCTTAATTTTGATACGCACTTTAAACTTATTGCTGCATGCCATTGACTCAACCAAACCAGCGAAATATTATAAACTGATAAATTATACATTTCTGATTAAATAAACCAAAATGTGTCCTTTTAAGCTTTTAAGGACGAAGGTGCTTCCAGAATACTGCTGGCTAGTTCACTCATCAATTCATCAATCTCACTTGCATCTGCAGAACCACGCATCGTTATATTGCCCCCTAAGGGTTGGGTTGGGTTGGGGGAGGGGGTACAGATATTAAAAGAAAGAAAATGGACATGGCATCGTTGCCCAGCCCACACCAACATTTATTTTAAATAATGCACATACCCCGCCACATGGCAAAGGTTAAAAAACATGTTAGAAGTCAAAGTACGCGATGTGGATGACTCTCAGCTACTGCCACATGAAATTTAAGCTCAATATTTGACATATCTTATTTGATTGTTTAACTGTTACAGTTTTTAAAAGTTTTATCTTTCATCACTGGTGCAGTTATTGATGGTTAATAAGTTGTTTGAGACTTTAAACCACTAGACAAAATGCTTACAGTGGTTTATATATTCAAACCAAAAAGGAAAAAAAACAAGACTTCAATTATAATTTTCCTACTTCTAACATACGTTGAATTAATCAGGACCAGAAACAGAATTTGAGATATAATGAAGATGCTGAATAAATTTAATTGAAACATTTTTTTCACTGAAAAAGTTATTTTAACCCTAAAAGACACAAAGCAAAAAGTTGTGTTTGAACTTGTTCTGGAGACTCAAAGATTTGCCCTAAAATGTAAAATTTGTCTTTAATTTGACAAATATTAAAGCTGATGTAAACCAACCCATAAATAATTATACTTTTACATCTGGCCGGGTAAGAAAATGACGTTAATTATCGTAATTATGGTTAGATTAACTCTCGTTGTCCTTGGTTGCCGTCATAATCGATTTTTAACTGATCGTAATTGCTTCTCAGCAGCTAATCAAACGTTTAAAGTGAGTTCACACAATCTGAAACGTTGCAGCTCCTAAAACCAGCCCCATGGTCTCAGACGGTGCAGAGTGGTTTGGTATAGACCCAACTGCAGGAATAAAACAAAAACTGTTGATTTAAAAGCTGACATTTTCAGTTCTGGTATAAAGAACCAGCCGCTCTGCTTCCAGCAGCCTTAAATACACAGATAGATTTAATTCTTTTTATTTCAGCCTTTTAGGAAAAATGTTCAATTAGTTCTGTGAAAGAAGCAGGAGAGCAGCTCATATTGGTAACTAATTTACTTTTGAATAAACTGATTAAAGCTCAGAACAGAATAAAATCAAAAGGTGATTTTAATTTATTTTTTTAAAACTCAATGTTTTAGTAAAGTAATTTAAAACAGAACAAATCCTAAACCCTGACTTGTTAGCAGAGCTAAATAAAATGTTGAGTTGTGTGTAACGCAACGCCAAAGTGGAAAAAACATCACCAATGACCTCAGAGAAGCTGCTGCCCATCAACTGAGAAGGTACAAAGTTCATTTAGGGTGCATCTTTTAAGATAATTCACAAGACAAGCTGATCTTCACAGGACTGAAAATTCCAGGAGACTCATCCCGAAGGTCAGACCATGCAATGATCAGACAAATGAGACAAATTTCTGCACTGCTATATAATCATATCTCTGCTATCAAACTAAAAAAGACGACCAAACAGGGTGAAGAGGACAATAATCACTGGGAGTGAGGCCTGGAGGCAGGCAGGATGTGAAGTGCCTCGTTTGAATTTAAAGAGACAGCCTCAATACGAGCTGACCTCAGATGCAGCTAAGAACAGGTGAAAGAGGGGCTTGTGGAGTTACAATAAGGAGGAATTCAGACCAAAGCATTGCAGTTCCACTTTATAAAGACCCCAACTGAAGGATTTAAATGTTTCCTTTAAAAGGTGATCAGTGTTTGACAAAAGTCCTTTCACTGCCTGTGGGATAAACATGAACTAAGACTTCCAGGATCCAGACTTCCTTCTGGTTTCACAGTAAAAACAAAATTGAAGGAATTTCAACTTTTCTAATAAAACAGTCTGAATCCACCACACTCCATGACTACAAGATCATTGAACTGAGGGACAGACCCACAACCCTTCAGTTGAAGTGAAAACGAGAAGAAAATAAAAATAAAAATCAAACACCACCTGCAGTTATCATCTGTTTAATTATCTTTTAGTGTTTCCACTACACCTACAGCAGATTGATGAGCCTTCAAGCTTCCTTTTCACTTTTAGATCCTAACTTCACGTCTGATAAGGTTTTTTAATAAAGTGTTATTTGAGTTCATTGTTTGTTCCAAATAAAGACTCAAAGTGCGTGACATGTATTATGCA